TATATATATATATATATATATATATATATATATATATCATTATCTATATCTATCTAAGTGAAGTTCATTGTAAGTCCCATCAGGTCACGGGTTCGATCCCCCGTGGCACGGGGTTCTCGAATAGTTAAACAGATGGCGTGGGCTCTCATCATGGGGCTTTGATGCGCATGAGAAATCGATATTTGAGTACCAAATATCAATTTCTTTTTTAATATATATATATATATATATAATCTCTATCATAATTGACTTTTTATGCATCTCATTTATGAGTCCTAGTTATATACGAAATTTTCCAGGAATATTTAACTAGTATGAATTTTTAATTTTTTATAAGTTTTTGATATACTGAACGCATCCTCAAATGGATGCAGAAAGAATAGCCGACAGAAGCACTGGTGACGTAGCCGTAGATTTCTACCATCGTTACAAGGTACTTCAGCATGATTGCGTCAGGCTAATTCCATCAGCAATTTGGTTGCCATTGCTTTATAGATTAGGCTGTATTGATAACTGATGTATGATCACGTGTCCCTCTTAATTACTCTGCTAATAGATAATCTTAACTTGCAGGAGGATGTACGGCTGATGAAGGATTTAGGCTTTGATGCGTTCAGATTGTCGATCTCTTGGTCCAGGATTCTTCCTAGTAAGTTAATGATATGCTCGAATTTTCCTATTGCCTGCATAATGATAACAATAATATAATCTGAAAGAGTAAACTTAATATAATTTAAAAGATTTAGTTAAAGTATGTATAAAGAATGAGAATCAAAAAATAAATTTTTTAGATTAGTATAGTTAACATAGATAGGTGATATATTTGGATAAACTTTTTAATGTATATTGTGAATATATGATCGACTTTAATGATCTTAACATTATAAATAATAGAAATTTTTTTTTTAATTTCTACGTATTAGTAAAATGGAAGTTGAGGAGAATTTAAGAAAAAGAAGGTGTGGAAAATCAGCAGGATCTGATGATATTCTAATAGAAAGTGTGTAGAGGTTTAGGAGATATGGACAATTGTCAGCTTACTAAGCATTTTAGTATTAATTTTAAAAGCAAAAAGTTATCCTAAGTGTGGAGAAATAATCAATTGATTCATATTATTAAGAATAAAAAGTATGTATAAGAGTGTTCAAATTATAAATGAACAAGTTAATTTGTGATGCATAAAGTTATGAGACTGAGTGATTGAACATAGACATTTATTGAGAAGTTTGATGGAGAAGTATAAAGTAAGAATGATCTACATATCTTTTTTGCTTATTTAGAAAAAAATAATGATAAAATTTCCAGAGAAAAATTTTAGAAAATTCTAGAAAAGAAAAGTGTTCATGTTCCTATATTCAAGTTATTGAACATATGTATGCTAGAGCTATTACTTAAGTTTGAACACAAGGAAGATTGACCAAGTAAGCCATACTTTGCAGAAATTTAGCTTATTACAGATGGTCAAATACCGTTATTAATAAAAATCAAACCGTAGAAAATATATTTACCAATCGTGTACCTACGGTTTATTCAACATAGCAAAAACACTTGACATTAATAAAATAACTATCGGATTTATCGACGGTTTATATTTACCGACCGTTATCCGATGTGTTGTGCTCATCGCTATTGATACAAAACCATTGTATATTTAATCGTAACTCGCCCATCGGTTCTTGAACCGACGCATGTAGACATTGGAAAAGTTGCACTTCCACCAGAAAAGTGTCGCGCTTCAATCGGTAAAGCGTCACACAACCGTTGGTTAACCTTGATAAATTATCGATGGAAGTTTCCATTACAAAAGTGCAGCACTTGTATGGTCATCGCTTGTTCGATACATCGTAGGAAAGCCGTTGACGACCTATAGCATCAACAAAAAAAAAAAATTAAAGCCATCCTTTAGGACTACTACAAATTACACACCTTATCGTACAAGTACAATCTATATACAGTACAATACAATAATGAAGCTAATTAACGCATCAACCATATGTAGAAATTTAAGAAAAACAACTGCATTAAACCAAACGAAATGAAAAATAAAAAAAATTATTCGCAATCAATAAATTGTTTAACATAAACAAGCATTAAAAAAAATAAATTATACTCATCCGCCTCTGTCTTCTCCTCATCATCACCCTCCTCATCCTTTTGAACTTGTTGCTTCCCTTTCTGTAGTTGGGAACACAACACCGCTTCTCTCTTCTTTTTTAATATTCTGCTTCATCTCCGATCTCAGTGCGTCTAGGCAGGTGGCAACCCTGGCATCAACCACAGCGGCAACCACTTCTTTTCACTTGTTGGAGGAATGATTCATGCAGTCGACCCAAATAAGTGGGATAAAAGATTTTTGTTATTGTTTTTGTTGCATTATTTATCTCCCAATCTTATGATGAGTAGGTTCATATATAAGAAAACATCATGATAAAATGTTAATTCACGATGGTCTTAACGCATTAGCAGATATTGGGTCGTACTTTAATTTTAATTGTGAACTCATTTGCGGCCATAGGTGTATAATAGTATGTAAATAACAAACATATATCATTTTGGGCCCTCATTACTTTTAACTCTCAATCTCTCAAAATCTCTAATCCTCATGCCAACCCTAATCCTTCTTCTTCACGACCTTCTACTACCACTCGTGCTATAATGATGAATGGTGATTTCTTAGAGTTGTGGTATTCTGCTTCTCAGACACATAGAAGTGCATCTCATCATGTGCTACCTACCTGCCCCTCAACATCATCCCTCCTCCTCACGATCAATGCAACAACTTAGGTTATTATTGATGTACTTGTCAATCTTTTGAATCATTATTCTACTTTGTGCCATTATCAAGATAAGATTAAAAACACTATCAATTTCAAAAAATTTTAAGGTCTAAAAAAATTACTATTTTAGTTATATGTATCGATAGAGTAGCACTCATAGAGTACCATTGTACCACACATGAACATGATTATTAGAAATTTTAATATCATCTTATGCTCCTTGGATTAAAGAGGGTTTTATAATATAGTTTTGAAACCAATTGAAAAATAAATCTTTTATATTGTTCTTTAAGAGTCATATTTAAAGTTTTAAAATACTTTAAAATTAATAAGAAATAAATTACACCATGGAATTATGTATAAAGCATGCCAAAATTTATGGTTTATTAGATGAATAAACTAAGACAACAGATGATTTGATATTATGTCACAGATTATACTATGTTAAACTAACATATGTTTAGAAATGATCTGTGTTGACACAAAGAAAATAACATGAATATCATATATTTAATAGTTAGATAAATCTTTATAATGTTTATGCGAATTTCAACGAAACCTTTAAATTTCTTAAAACGGGCTTACTTTAGAGTTATTTTATTAAATACATGAGGATTAAATGAAGGTCGATATACACTAGTTAGACAATAATACTAACCTAATTAATGAACTTAAGTGTGTAAAATCTATTATCAAATTAAATTAACTATTTTCTGTTTCAAGTGATGATGAAAATTTTCAAACAATTGAAGATGTTAATGTTTTTTTCTATCAAAAAGAGTTTAGAAAAGATTATTATGCTTGATTTGCTCAAGGTGAATCATCAAAATACTGTGAAGTCAACACCATAAAAAGTTTTAGAGACTGAACCTTAGATTAATCTAGTCGAGAAAACTTGTGGTTCTTAAATCAATGGTGTAGATATGATTGGCATGTACATGTCTAAAGTTTAGGAATCACCAAATTTAGAAGCAATAAATTTTAATAATTTAACTTTAAATGTTGATGAACATTTAAGGCATGACTGCAGTTATTATTCAAAAGTATTAGCAGTTGCCTTGTTCAATTAAAAAGTTGAAATTAATGTCAGAAAAATTTGTCATGAATGCAATGTTTCCATCATTAAGTCTACATTTTAAAGGATAAAAGACTAATTGATGACATGCCTATATATCTAAAAAAGGAAAGATAGATGAAAAGCTTTGCCTCAAGGCTAAGAAAATTAATGCATGCTAAAATTAATTATATGTTGTTCTACTAATAGTTGATCAACATTTTAGAATGTTCAAAGTATTAACACCCTCTACAAGCATAAAAAAAAATTCATGTAGTCAACAAAAGAATGCTCTTTACATGGTACTCTATTATTTTCTTTTAATACCAATACTCATACAAATATATATATTTCAACTTAACTACAATTTACAGGACATGCTAGGAATAATTTTCCCTGGAGTGTAATAGAGTGTCTTTTTGGTGTGGTATGGAAACATTTTAATTGCGCCTATACATAAGGAAACATTTTGATTGTACCTATACATCACTCACTTCTAAAGTGCTTAATGATTGAATTGGATTATGCTTAGATTGGTATAGTTCTTTTGTGCATTCTAGTTTTCCATATAAATGTTGTCTTGTACAAATCATTTTGCATAACTTATTATCTTGGATTTGCATGAACATCCTCTTATCATCATTAATATTTCATAAACTAATAAGGACTATAATAATCTTAATGTATTATTTTACTAGCTTTGATTGATGAACCAAAACTCTTTTGAGATAATAGAATGCTTACTCATTATAAGCATAAGAAACAAAACTTTCAAATGAACGCGATTGTTGAGTAGGTAAGTACAATTTTTCGGGTTATGTTATATTGCTTGGATGGAGTTTATATGTGAAATTAGGATGCTCATATTGCATAGACCTTATCAAAGCATTCATATTTTTGAATGATTGTTGAGCAAACTTATTAACTGTCATTAATAATTTTAACCAATACATCAACTTTATTTGTGGCAAAAGAATAAATTCAAAAGATGAATACTTAAATTGGATGCTTCTACACCATGACATCCTTGAGAGGATATTCTATTTGACCTTAACAAATTCTGTGAAATATACTAAGACAATATACATATGAGAGGGCTATATTCTCAAAATATGAAGGGGAAGGTGCAACACATTATGAATTTGAACTAAAAATAATGTTGGATGCTATCGAGGGACTAATTAAAAATTGAGTGTATGGCTTTTGTGGTTTTGGTAAAGGTAAAGCATTTGAGAGGGTCCCATCAAAATCATAGGGACTTGCAAGAAGAAAATTTGGTGGGGCAATTAATCATGAAAGAGGAGGTTGAATAGATTGTACGCTCAATGGTTGTAGAATTATAACAACATTATGCTTTAGGTGGTGGAGCTTGTGCAGTGAAGAAAGTTGTTGAGGATCAAAGAGAGATAGGATGATGAAGATGATGACGACAATGAAAAGAAGAATGAATAGATTTCCGCATCCTTTATTTGATTCATATTGAAGTGGCCGGTGTTCTATGCAGATGATATTTTATATGTAGATTGCTAATTGGTTTATGTTTTTATGCTTAATGTATTTAGTTTGTTTATTCATATAAGACTATTGCATGAGTGTCATCTTACGTAGTTTAGTTGTAGTGATATTGTAGCATTGGTTTGTTTCGCATTTAACTTTTTGTCATGGATTTTCAATTGCTAAAGGTCACAAAAGAACATTTGCTATCCATTATAGCGACTACATACGAATATTGATTGATCATTTGCCAACAAGTCGATCGTCGATTATTCTCATGATTAGTGTGATTGCATTGTTCCGATAGGGCTCTGATTACATTTTATTGACCATTTAGTTGTGGTCGTAAAAATAGTTTGTAACTATGAAAATAACGACCATTTGAGCGACCGCCCAAGTAGCAACAAATATCGAGTTGCTTTAAAAAACTAATAGTTTTGCAACAAACTAATCAGTCAAAAAACTATAATATTATTAGAGAAAATGGGAATAAATCATTAAAAGCAATGACTCATATAACATCTAAATAGCTAGAAATGGCTTCTTTTTTTAATTTGAGGAAAAACTCCCTATCAGGACTATAATACATAAGTATCCACCAAATTACATGTTCTATGCTCCAATATTTTTGTACGAAACCTCCAATGGGTAGGGCTGTCAAAAAAGCTCGTTGTTCGCGAACAGTTCGTGTTCGGTTCGTCAATGAGTTCGTGTTCGATTCGTTCGATAAGTAAACGAGACAAACGCGAACAAATTTTTTTCGTTTGGTTAGTTAAACGAACCAAACACGAACAGTAATGCGTTCGTTCGTGTTCGAATCGTTATTGTTTGAAATATAAAATAATATAAAATAATTATATATAAAAAATTAATTATATTTTAAAATATTAAATTTTATAAATTATAATATATAATAAAATAATAATAATAATAGTTATATAATTAATATATAATATTATTTTTATATATTAATATTAGGGATGTCAAACTGGCTCGTCGTTCGCGAATAGCTCGTGTTCGGTTCGTGTTCGGCTCGTTCGTTAAGACACGAACACGAGCTTATTTCAAACAAACTAAATTTTAAACGAACATAACACGAACACAAGCTTTGTTCGTTCGTGTTCGGTTCGTTTACACCCCTACCAATGGGGGAGATTATTAGGTAAATATAACTCACAAACTCTTAGAATTTTACCATTATTAATTACAAGGATAAGTACACCATGATTAACCATAATTTCTCGTATTTTCTGAGCCAATTCACAGATGGAAGCTTGAGCGGTGGAGTAAATAAGGAAGGTGTGAGGTATTACAATAATCTCATCGATGAGCTGGTAGCCAACGGTACAGATTCAACCATCACAAATTATCAAATGTACTTAATTTCTTGAGTTAATCACCTGCCCTTCCCTTTCTATTACTAGACATAAAGCCATTTGTGACGCTCTCCCCAAGCTTTGGAAGACAAATATGGAGGTTTCTTATCCCCACAAATTGTGTAAGTACATACTCATAAATTATTTTTCTTACATTTGGGAGAATGCCTACAATACAAAAATCTAAATGCAAAAAGAAAGAGACTGCAAAAAACAATCAAGCACTCACTATATAAATTATAACTTGTTAGGGATGATTTTGCAAATTTTGCCGATGTTTGCTTTCCAGAGTTTGGTGATCGAGTGAAGCATTGGATCACTTTGAACGAGCCTGTGACATATACTCTTTATGGTTATGCCTATGGATTTTTTGCGCCACATCGATGCTCTCATGGGGCTGCCGGATTATGTAGTGCTGGCAATTCTGGCCGCGAGCCTTACATTGTAGCTCATCATTTAATACTAGCTCATGCGACATCAGTCAGACTCTATAGACAGAAATATCAGGTAAGACAAATACTACATGTTGCAAGAAAAAGTTACACACAAATGTATGTATGCATGTATTATATATGCATATGTACACATAGATGTATATATGTATATTTGTATATACATACATATATATGTATACGTATACACATATACATGTATACGTGTATATACGTACACATACATGTATACATGTATACATCTATATATACATCTATGTATGTATGTGTGTGTGTGTGTGTACACAAACATGTATACATGTATATACGGACACAGGAAAACGATAATTATGCTGCTGCTGATATGTTGTTCCTGCAGGCATATCAGAAAGGTGAAATAGGCATAACTCAAGTTACCTACTGGATGGTACCTTATTCCAACTCCAAGGCCGACAAAGCAGCGGCAAGCAGAGGATTAGATTTCATGTTTGGTTGGTAAGTTTTCATACATATTACTCTATTCCTATGTATTTATTCATTTTGATTTTTCTATTGCTCATCAGTTTAAAATTAGTAAAATTATTATAATGATTTTGATAGGTTTATGGATCCTTTAATTCGAGGAGATTACCCAAGTACCATGAGGGAACATGTCGGCTATCGGCTACCAAAATTTACAGCGGAGCAGAGCAAAATGGTCAATGGGTCATTTGATTTCATTGGGCTGAATTACTACACAGCTATTTATGCTAACCATAAGCTGTATGCTAAAGGATTGAACCCCGGCTATGACAGCGATAGGAATGTTAATCTTACATGTAGGCTTGTGTTCTTCCTCACATAAATTTTTCTAAGTGAATATATTTACATTTAAGTTTTAGAAAAGTTTCTTATATCCTATATGTTAACATATATTTAAAGCAATTAGTATACTAAAAGTTAATATGACTTCATTTAAATCAATAAATTTAGTATTAGAGTCCTCATATCATATTTAGCATTCATCTATACCAAGCTCATATATCAAATATTTCACATCTGACTTAGAAATGAAACTTTTACACAAAATAACATAAATGGGTCAAATAGATAATGTAATGATGAAATTGTCACACCTTGAGTCTGGAAAACATTGCACCCTGACAGCAGAAGACCTTAGAAATAAATAAGTAAAACCTTATTTTACATGAGAAAATTTATTCAGAAGCACTTATAAATAATATATATTAGCATAAACAAAAGAAAATTAACTTTATGTTAAATAAATAAATTTTTTTGTTTGAAAAAACACATCATTGTGACAATAGCATTTGAAGTGCCACTAATTTAAATGTGAATCTACTTTGAAAGTATTGCATTTTTTTTAATTTTTTTTTAAGGGCTTAGTATTCTAACTAATGTCGAGTTAAATGTTTTGCTTATCATAATGCAGCCTATCGTGAAGGCATTCCCATTGGTCCGCAGGTGCCTAAAATTTTTTTCCTATTTAGCTTTGTCAAATAACAGAGAATCATGATTTACGACTGAACAAATTTTTTTGAATTATATTTTAGGCAGGATCAAGCTGGCTCTACATCTACCCAAGAGGGGTCCACGACCTCTTGCTTTACACAAAGACAAAATACAACAACCCAGTCATTTACATTACAGAGATTGGTATGAACTTCTAACAATAGAACTTTTTTCATTCAACACATTCATACGATATTAAGTCTTAATAATATTAATGTAGGTGTACCTGATATTTATAATGGAACCTTACCAATTGAAAATGCTTTGAAAGATGATGTAAGAATAGAGTACTACAGACAACATCTCTTAAACATTCGAAGGGCTAATAGGTTTGCAAATTACTTGTACTTGTTTAGTTAAACTCTTACGAACCTCATAAAAATGAGATTTATAAATCTAATATGTATGGTTATTTGATTAATGCCATGATGTTTGTGTTGTATTGTTCAGGAAAGGAGTAGATGTGAGGGGCTTATTTGCATGGTCTTTGCTTGATAATTTTGAGTGGACAGATGGATACACCATCAGATTCGGACTTTGTTATGTAGATTACAAAGATGGCTTGAAGAGATACCCAAAGAATTCAGCACTTTGGTTTAAGAGAATGCTCTGTTAATGTTGTTTCAGTAAGAAGGAGAAGAAGGCTAAATCGAGAGCAACGAATTAGTTCATTTCATTCCTCTACGAGTAGAAGGAATATCCAACATTCCAAAAAATATTTTTGGTGGTGAACCCAACTTCTAATGTTTGCATTATCAAGTGGAGTTCCAATCCCATCATGATTCATGAGATATTTTATCTAAATTTGTGTTTAATAATTTATTTTAAAGTGTATGACATTATCAAATTGGTTTTGAGATTGTTCAACTATTGGGGTAAATCCAGCTCTTGAAATATCAGCTTTTGGATCAAATTAAGCATTTTCATCATCTTCTTACTTTGGTTTGTGTTCTCTTATAAAAATGGTTGACATAAATTCAATGATTAGAGAAGAGCTCTTTGTGCTGGTTATGCACATTTACAATTTTTGAGCTGAATTTAACAATTTTAAAAGGTAAAAGTCAACATATATACATGGCTACAAAAGTTTAATACGGTTCAACATATTTTCCATATTTATAGTAGGCAGCAAACTCACAACAAATTTGAGAAGAAACACATGATTTATTTTGTTATTCTTGCACATATATAAAAGTTATTACAAACATGAGGGATTAGCTGTGGGATGATTTATAAGTAAGAATTACATGAACTTATAAAATTAAAAATTTAGGCTCCATTTTTATCTGCCTGCCCATCATGCATGACTTTTAGAGTAGCCTTTACTGTATATATATATA